AGATCGAAACCAAATGCGGGGTGAAATTGCCATCCTACTTTAAAGGTAATATATTTATTGCACGATCGTCAGATAAATACGTAAAATAATATTAATTTTATATAATTTATATATGTGAGAGTTTGTTCATGATATTATGATAAAATAACTACATGACTTAAATAGTTATATATAAAATTTATTAAAATTTAAACAAGAGTTCAATTTTAAATTGTGAGTTTTTTAATTATTTATTTAAATAATATATAAGGTGGAAAATGAAACACAAAAAGTGTTGATCATTATTTGAAAAAAGTAATCATTTTCTGGTTGATAATTTGTAATAATAATTTAATTAGATATTATAAATGATACAAATAACAATAATTTAGTACGTCTGGTTGATCACATGCAAGTACAGTGACCGTAAAGTAATAAATCTACATAGAAACAAAATGGCATTTAAGAAACAATTAAAATATAGAAGAAGATGAAGCACCACGTAAGATGTAACCAATGGGTTGACCAGTACAAAAAGGACAAACCACCCAATCTCACGCGGATTCAGCTTAACCAGCCCAACTGCAGCAATGGCCCTCTTTGCTATGGCATCATGCGCTTCATCGCTTAAAATAGCATATCATTTATATTTCCTATTTAACCGAAAGCTCCAATTTAGGTCCCACTAGTTCAACCCTCACTACAAAATTAAATTCCAAATTCAACCACAATTTAATATTTTTGGATGGTAAATTCTAATTTCAAATGGATATTTATCTTAATTTAAATTGTAGTAAAAAATAGAAATAAATCCATGTGTTTTTTTACTGAATTTAGAGTGCGTTTGAAAATAATTTTACAAAGAAAAACCATTTAGTAATAATAAAATAGATATATTTTTAAAAATTATTTTTAATAATAATTTTAATTAATTAAATCTTAAATTAAAAATTCTAAATCTAATCCTAATTAAAGACTCTAAGAAAAAGAACGAGAGTACTTTTTTTTATTAAAAAATGAGATTACTTTTTTTTTTATGTTTTTAACCCATAACTTAAAAGAAAATAAGGGAATATAAGTAAACAACATTGTTAACTAAACAAAGATACTTTCACTTATTTATATATTCTTTAAACAATATTAAACTAGTCCACCATATCTAGAGTGTATGGTTAAAAACTTACAGTTTATATCTCTCATTTCCCTTCTCTTTTATGTTGCGGATTTAATACCCATTAGAAGAAAAAAAAAATCCATTTCTTATGTAGAAATTATTCCAAAAAAACTGTGAAATTGAAGTTTATAATCACAAACACCATTAAGTTCGCCTAAAAATAAAGTGTATCAATGGTGCCAATATGATGAAGTCATGCGTTCATATTGGTCGACTCTGATTCACTGCGTGCATCGCTCTACCTAAGTAGGCTAAGGCCTCAAATCTTTTATCTTTTTATGTTCGATGATGAGTGATTAAGACCAAACTCGCTTAGTCCAATTTAAGAAGGTACCCACTTTAGTTCTGCTCAAACAGTCCACTTTGCAGTTAATTGTTTAGTCTTTCAACAACAAATTCCATTTAAAACGTTGTCTTAATATATAAAATTGTAAACAGCCTTAACAGAATTCCATGCCGAGTTACCCTTAAATCAAACATTTTAAGTATAAATTTGTCTTAAACATTAGTCAAAACAAAAACATTCATTCAATATGGATGGTTTATGCCTCAAAGATTCGTTTTTTTATCTATAATAAAATAATTGATAACTTAACTATTTATATTTCGAAAAATATAAAAAAGTTATATAATTAACATATTTTAATACAAATAGTAGACAATTTTCAGGTATATGTCCAGCATCTTAAAAATCCATGCGCCTATCATTCTCCAGTAGTACAATCACTTCTACAAGTGGATTGTTACAAGTGTGGAGACCAAATGAGAGAGACCACGCCATCTTCCTCAATCCACTTTAAACTATCAAAAGTTTTACCTGGTCAGTAAACATTTTTTTTATTACCATAATCATGGAAGGGTAAACTTCATAACAAAATGATGTATTAGCCGCTCCCTAAAGACCAAAACAAGTAGGATTTTAAGGCATCAGGCATGCACGATTTTAGATTGTTTGAGAAACAGAATGATTAAATTATCCGATCCTTAGAAACAAGGGAAGGAGTAGGGCTGCAAATAAGACGAGATAGATCGCGAACTACTCGAGATCGACTCGGTCAAGGTTCGATAAATACTAGGATTGAATGAACTCGACTCGAGCTCGAGCTCGATTCGAATTCTTAACGAGCCGAAACGAGCTACTTGATACTCGACTCGAAAAGCTCGTAAACAGCTCGAAAATATAATATATTAAGATTTTATTTTTAAAAAAAATAAATTATTAATAATATTAACATTTATGTGTTGATTTTTTTTTTAAAACACAGTAAGACTTTTATGTATTTAAGATTTATGTTCGAGTTTGAGTTTGAGTTTGAGACTTCAATCTAGTTAAGTATAAGATTTTTTTTTTTCATTTCGAGCTGCTCACGAGCTTCAGTTCAGGATTTCGAGTTCGAGTCAAGTTTAAAAATTTTAAGCTCGCGAGTTTTCGAGTCGAGTTTCATTTCAGAGTTTTTGAGTCTAATCGAGCTCAGTAATACTCGAGCTCGACTCGACTCGTTTACATCCCTAGGAAGGAGGTAAAAGTAAAAAAAAAAAAAATTAAAAATGATAGGTGACGATTAGAAAACTGGATGACATGCTCCCTATGGAGGAGTGGAGTTTATTGTGGTTGTGGTTAAGCTTAAAAGTTAAAAGAGGAAATAATCTCAGTGATAAAAAATGTCTTATAATATACGATTTTAATCAATTTTTTTAGATTTGCCAAAATGACCAACTAAATCGCAATGCGATCGATAATTCGCAACGCGATTTCCGGTATCGCAAATCAGTTTCCAGATTTGCAACGCGAACATCGACTATCGCAACGCGAACTTCGACTATCGCAATGCGATTTTTCAAATTCGTTGCGATAGTTCAAGTTCGCGTTGCGATAGTCCAAGTTCGCGTTGCGATAGTCCAAGTTCGTTGCGATAGTCGAAGTTCGCGTTGCGATTTATTCCAAATTCGTTGCGATAGTCGAATACTATCTTTGTAGATAAAATTCTTAAGAAACAAATGCAATACCACCAATCGTTGCGATTTTGGACTATCGCAACGAATTTGAAATAAATCGCAACGCGAACTTCGACTATCGCAACGAACTTGGACTATCGCAACGAATTTGTAATAAATCGCAACGCGAACTTGGACTATCGCAACAAATTTGGAATAAATCGTAACGCGAACTTGGACTATCGCAACGAATTTGGTAAATCGCAACGCGAACTTCGACTATCGCAACGCGAACTTGGACTGTCACAATGCGAATATGTAAATCGCAATGCGATAGTCGAAGTTCGCGTTGCGATATTCGAAGTTCGCGTTGCGAATCTGGAAACTTATTTACGATACCGGAGATCGCGTTGCGAATTATCGATCGTATTACGATTTAGTTGGTCATTTTGACAAATCCAAAAAATTTTGGTTAAAATCATAAATTATAAGATATTTTTGGTGACTGAAATTATTTTTTATAGAGTCAAAGTGATTCAACTGGAATCACGTGAGATTCTTACAGGCTGGGAGTGGGCCCGCATTACGTGGAGGGCGTTGAAATCCATTTTAAAACCATATATTTGTATTGTACCTTGAAGCATGTAATGTGTCCTTTAGTTCTTCGGGAAAAAAATGAAAATTCCCAAATGATCATGACTTATCAAAACTACATCTTAAAATAATATTTTAAAATCAGGAGGTGCTTTAATTTGTGTGTAAAAATTATAAATTATAAATATAAAAAATAGAAATAATATTTAGAAAAAAATTGTCACTTATCAATCTAAATCTGATTTATCATGATTATTGCCCGAAAGGCATTTCCATAGCTTCACCCTATACCAATTCAATAAACATGAATTACTGTAAAGCAAAATCATTAAAAAATATACACTAATTGGGAAATGAAAATCACCACACAAGTGAAATTAAGGCTGCATATCTGCTAATTTGCCAGGTTGAATTGGATCCAAAATGCTCAATTAAGTCAAGACAAGGTATCCCTAACAAGACCTAAAAAATATTATATTAATTATTATAGAAACAACTAATTTTATTTAAAATAAAAACATACTAAATTACCATAAAGATTTACGATCACAATCATAAATTAAACACGTAATTAAGAAAGTTTCCTATAATCATTGATACAAACAACAATAGATGCAAAACAAATTTGATCGAATCAGCAAACAAACCACAAAAGAGATCAATCTATTGAAAGACCATCGACAAATCATAAATCAAACTTGAGCGACGAAAAAAACTATACACGAACACAAATTGGGTATCCACATCCAATCCGGAGGTTCAAAGCAGAGAAGATCAATATGATATCGGATAAACGTCATCCTGATCAGTCGTGGTAATTTCAAATCAACCTTTAGAAAAAGATAAATAAAAAACAGTCAAACGACAAAAAAAATAAAAACACATGTCATAAAATCAAATGAAAACGTGTTATATGATAAACTTATTGAAAATAAAAAAGAAATACGATATAAAGAAGAGAAAAAATAATAATATCGACGATCAACAATCAATATTAAAATTAGTATCGTCATCGATCGACAAATACAAAAAAATAAACTAATAAAAAAACTAGTTTTTTTTTCTTTCTACGTAATACCGGATCAAGAAATAAAATTTATTATATTATATAAAATGTATTAAGAAATAAGAGGTAGGGTTGCGCATCTACACGAACCTTGCTCTCAATAATCTAAACCTAGGATCCCCACTAACTTTAAAAAAGCCAGTTTCCTGGAAGTACCCCAATTCTCCAAATGCTATGTTCATGCACCTCGGAACCTTCTCCATATATAAACAACCCCTTTCGCCTCACTTTCTCCATTCAAAATATCAAACAGAAAATTAAACCCCAAGAAAAAAAGGGAAAGAAAGTGGAGCTTTTCTCTTCTATTGATCTTGTGGTGAGGTAGTGATTAAATATGGAAGCAATGAACGGATGTTCATCTTCTACAACATCATCTGACTCGTCTTCTTCGGACTCTAATATGTCTGCAAAGGCCTCAAACAGAGCCGAGAAGATTAAAGGTCCCTGGAGTGCCGAGGAGGACAGAATTTTGACTCGGCTTGTTGAAAGATACGGGCCTAGGAACTGGTCTTTGATAAGTCGATATATTAAGGGTCGATCAGGGAAATCTTGCAGGCTTAGGTGGTGTAACCAGCTGAGCCCCAATGTGGAGCACCGTCCGTTTTCTCAAACTGAGGATGAGACCATCTTGGCTGCTCACGCTAGGTATGGTAACATGTGGGCAACCATTGCTAGGTTGCTTCCGGGAAGGACTGATAATGCTGTGAAGAATCATTGGAACTCAACTTTGAAGAGGAGGGCAAGAGGAGGACAACATCACCATCATCATCAACTACAACAACATCAGCAACGGATCTCACCGAGTACTCATCAGCCAACGGATGGTGGTGATCATAGTGCATTGGGATCTATGGGGATAGAGATAGATGAGGAAGCGTTGACGGCGTTGACCCTAGCGCCTCCTGGTAGTAGTGTTAGTACTAGAAGCTCAATGGCGGCGGCCGAGAGGAGAGAGGAGAGAGTACCGACAGAGTTTTGGGATGCAATGAGAGATGGGATAGCAAGAGAGGTTAGAGAGTATATGAGCTCCACGTTATCAGCTGAGACATCAGGGTTTCATTAGGACCAAAACAAAGGCTAATTAAGCCAAGCCAGTCTGTTTTTTGTTCTTTTATGGAGTTTGGGGAGGTTGTCCTTTGGGGGTTTTCCATTTCTCTTGGTGTAATATGCTGATCTTGTTTCTCTAAACAACTTTGAACAAATGTAAGATTTCTTAAATGAATGCCTAATCAGTTCCACACATTAAACAAAAATTAGTTTGCAATATGATAATCCTTTGCTAAGATTGAGACTTACAGTTAATTTATTACCCACCACCTTTATATATTACTCCCCATGTATAATTGAAAATTTAGAGGAAAACGATGCATTGCATATTCTGTTGAGAATTCTCCCTGTCCTAGGAGATCGATGTGGGACAGCACAGATAGTGGGAGCCAGAGCATGCAACCAGAGGACAAATACATAAACTAGCTAACTTAAGCAATGTTGATTCCCATGGCGACATTCATTTCTCAATATCTTTTTATATTTCTCGGTTTTAAAACGACAAAAATTAAGACACGAGATATTATCCATAAACTATACAGATAAATAAATGCTTTGCTGTAAAACCCTTCGTTAAAGTTCTCGTATAATGGTTCAGAATTATAAATGGAAATAATTATGGAATTTGTGGGGTTGTTTGTGAGCACTTGGAAAGGCAAAACTACAGTACGGATAGAGTTGTTTATAGTGGAAAAATTTCTCCAACTAATATTTTGGTCACAAAAAGTACAAATTGGAGCAACATTTTAAAATGTCAAGCTTGCTGCTGGTTGTTTTGCACCTCAACAAAGCTGTAGACCTACTTCCTTCCTGCTACATCAAATTGGAAATAGCTGTAACTGTTCCTTTCTCTTTAACCACTCCAAAGCTTTACCTTTCCCGAAACACATGCAAAACGAACCAAAAATTCGATCTGTACAAAAACATCTCTCCACTCATTTCCACGCTCATCTTTGGATAAGCAGTTATTTTCCGGCTCGGCGAACTCTTTGCATTGCCTTCTGGCTCACTAAGTGCAAGTATTTATCGACCTCAAAGCAAATTAAGTTTTAAAAGGTGCCAAAACATGCTAATAACCACACATTTTTCATCTTATCTGCATGTTAAATTCCACATAAGTTCAATGAATGTGGGCCTTGCCTAGTGGAAAATTTTGGGGAAAAGATGGCAATGGAGACAGGGGGTTCTCTTTGCCTGGAGGTTGATTCAATCAAAGCCCTGTCCCAAATCACAGCGGTAACTTTGTGTGTGTTTTAAATGTTAATATATTTGATTAAGGGATGCATGTTTTAAGTGTGGGTTTGAGAAACAAAAAACTAGTTATTTAAGAGGTGTAGCTTTCAATGCTGTTTCTTTTCAGGCTTTTAGAGGCCCAATTATGTTATGATATACAATCCAATCCAATAATTAATTTTAAAGATGTGTGAACAGAAGGAACTTTAATTTCAAGGCAGTCAAACTCTTTTTTATTACCAAGTTGCAGGTAGGTTGTCATAACGTTCAAATTTTGGTGTTATGTCTGAAAAGTCATGAGGAAAATTTCTACAACTGTTGGCGAATCTGTCTTTATAAACTGTATCGAGTAATTAAGCTTCACAAAGAACGTGTGTGTGAAATGTTGAATCGATGAGGGCTACTGACAACCTTTGCTTAATGCCATTAAGACTACGTTTCAAGTACATTTGTACGGATCAAATTGGTGCTAAAGATCAATGTTTTCCTTGATTTTGGATTGTATGGCCCTATCTCTTGGCCTACCTGTTTAGGCACATAGGAGGATAGGGCAGCCGAAAGGTCCCTATTGTTGTCGAACAAAACATCATTGCCAATTTGTAAGACTTTGGCCAGGGTAACCCTTCTGTTAAAGAATTCCATGGACAGAAAGCGAATTTGCTTTTTTCAACAAAAAAGAAAGAAAGTATAATGACAAAAAGTTACTCGACGTTTAAATATTTTTTTAATGATACCCTTTGAGAATATTTTTTTTGGATTTTAGGTTTGTTTTTCTTTAATTTTTATGTATTTTAATTGATTTGAAAAAGAGAGGAAGAGCAAAATGATGATAACTGACAATAAGATGAAAGAACGATATCTTTGATATTAATTATTGATTTATGGTGATTACACCAAATGATAGAGGTATATGACGATGGTGAAAGGGATAATGATCAAAATGAGCTAGAAAGATTAAATTAGAGTAATATTAAAATATTGAGTTAATTTTTAAGAGAAAGATCAAATTCAAATAAAGTTAAGAAGTAAAATTTATATTATATCAATTTTATTAATTACAATATCATTAATGATATATATATTAATCAGAGTTACAACAACAATAACTTGTAATAATCACGAGAGCATTTTATAATTTTTCGTAGTCAAGAGATTCAAAAAAAAAAAAAAACTAGGGACTGTTAGTTACCCTTTGATATACATTAATGATAACTCAAATATACATTTAATTATAAAAAGTTATGATTTAACTTTTTTGTTACATGAGCATGCTTATTGTAACTCTTCCAAACCTTCATTAATTAGTAAAGGGAAATGTTAACTAGCAAACTTGTGACGGGTAAAATGCTTGCTGCATCAAGCTTCGGCTAAATGGTTCTCATGTAAGCGAAAGTGTCGAGTAGGCTAAGCCTACCATGCTTGGCAAAACTACTAAGCTCTTTGCAAACTTGTTTTGTTACTTTATCCTTGCGTGAAAAATAAATAAATATTTGAAACACCATTCTTATTCTTCGTTTAACTAGAATGAACAACTAAGTAACGACCAAAAAAGAAAAGAAAAAGGAAACCACAGATTACTTTTATTCAATCATCATAGTTGAGGGTCTTCTCTAAATGATTGAGCAATTTGAAGCTGAACCTAATCTATATTGAGCACAGTGCATGGGCAGGGCATTGTGGCTTTCTGTTGGTCAAGGACTTTAATAACGTGGCCAAGGTACAATTGTGTGCTTCATCAGCTCATCTTTGCAGTCATTACTCATTACCTTGAGCAAGCTACGATGAGGAGGCCTTGCTGAGCAGTGCTGGAACCAGAAGCCATTTGCTCTCAAGTTCCTTTACTGGATTTAAAAAGAAAACTTGCTTGGGAATTGGAATGATGAGATGCTGATGATCTGTCAGTTGGGGTTTATATTATGGGTAGAAATGCCTTATGATTCTTCAACAGGAGCCTCATCTAGAATTACATGTTTGTTTGTTGTATCTTCTCTAAGGAAAAGGGAATACAAGCAATTCCGACTTAGGGAGCTTGATTGAAACTAGTTCTAATTCTTTTTCTCATTAGCTAATTTACCTCAATCTCAAACCTGAAAAATTAACCAATAAAATGATGAAAACCTCATTTCTCAATGACTTACTGTCATTTAAAAGGGTTGAGGAGCAACATTTGATCATAAAAAATTGGGTGGATTTCCATTTTGTGATAGAACAAAAGGGTTAGAATTTTTTAAGGTCATCCAAATACAACTGAGTGTGGGCATTTCTCCCAATTCCCTTTTACATTGAGGAGTTGAATGTTACCTAAATAAAGAAAAAACTTGGAAGGCATAGCAAGTTCAAAGAGCTCCTCTTTGCATAATTTGTTGTTATTGAACCGCTTCAAGATGGGGAGAGAATAAGGGCTGTTTGCAGAGCCTTAATATGGAGTTGTTATTGTCATTTAAATTGCTGGAAAAGTGGGGTTGTAAATGGTCCATATAATGGAAACCAAGAACTGACAGCTTAGTTACTTTGAGGAGGTAGCCATGATATTGTGAAACCCTTTTCTTTGGGACGTTGCTGACAACAGCCTTTATGAACAAACCAATCAAATGAATGTCAGCAGCTGCATAATTGCAGTCGTACTCGTGGATTAACGTTTGTCTGATAACGGATTTGTCAGCAGCTCCAAATGAATTACAAGCCTTTATTAATTGTTTTTCATCATAGAATTCAATACCGTTATTACTTACCTAACAACTTTATGTTTTCAATGCGTGTTACGGGTGTTGTGAAGGCCTCATTATGCCTTGAGCCTTAGAGAATTCTTAGTTTTCCTTGTAACATTGATTTAATTTGCAATTTATTCAACATGGTAACTTGTTTGATTGAGAATATACTAATTCAAGATTGACAAAGTGAAAGTGCCAAAACATTCAATTTTGAAAAATGAACCCAACTAAAGTGTTCTTCCTGCTAAATGCTCATACTAAACTAGCTAGCATCAATAAAACAACAAAGTCGACAAGAATCTAACAAGGAAAATTATTTAACAGCAAGACAATGAGTCAGAGACAAGGACCGGCGTTAAGAATAGGCATTTAAGGGGCGGTGGTGGTTTGTTGTGGTTGGTGTTGAATTGACGGTGGAACAGAGGTAGCAGAAGCATTATAAGTTGGTTGGGGAGGATATATCCTACCGTCAATGCAAGAAGAACATTTTGTTTCGATCCAACTTTCGATGTCATACTGACCATAACACATGATTTTCCTTCCCGTGCAGAGCCGTCCGATCATGCCTGCGACTATGCCCAAGACTACGATCACCAAAAGCACGGCTATAACAGGGCCAATGGAAGCATGGCCGGCGTGATAGTTGTACGGATGCTGGGTAACGGTCACCGGTGGGGGTTGCTGGTCCAGTGGCATTGACATTCTAGCCGACCTGGTTGATGTTTTCAGCTCAAAACTTGGCAAGTGCAATCCAAGCAAAGCGGAGCTCTCTAGAAACGACGCAGACGAGAATTTGATTGAGAATAAGGATATTTAAACGGAGAAGGACAAGGTTCAAAGTGGAGGAGGTTCAGGGGCTACACATCTGCAATGGAGGAGGGAGAAAAAAAGTGACCAATGGAACCATGTCTGAAACACCATCTGGTAAGTGGACTCACTGAAGAGATTCTATACGAACAAAAACAGTTGGTGCTTGTATGAGTGAAATATCAGATGTGGGTGGGGTAGCTTTTTTAGTACCCTATCACAATATCAAGTTAGAGGAACCTATTGGAACAGTAAAAGGACGAGAGGAAAGGGCAAAA